ACCCCGACATTTTAAGATGATGATTAACAGTAAACATGACAGTTCCTCAAGAACAGGTGGGGGCTCCCAAACCCCCCCCCCGAACCATAATGGAATGTTGACAGGCCAGAGCTTGTGCACATGTTGTGCAAATAACCATGGTTGCTATGGCTTCATGGCTGTGGCAGCTGTGGCATGTCCAGGAGATGGGGTTTTACAGCTCTCCTCCCATCTTCCAACTCGTACATTCTTTCCCCTTCCTCTTCAGTGTTCACTAAGCTTAAGAGGAAGAGTTATAACGTCCTGCATAGGGTTGGACATTCAACAATTATTTATTCTCAGCATGTTGATCAGTTGTAATTTTCTTCTAGAACAAGAAGCTTTGCTGGGGGACTTGGTTTTTATCCAGGTGACTGACAGGCCCATTTGGGTTGACCTTTGATGAATGAGAGACAGTATGTATTTCTTTATACATTGTCAGAAAACATCATTTTACATATCAGTATTATAAGGCTTATGGCTCTTGGGACTAGCTTGAGGGACTTATCTATTCAAAATATTACATCTTCTACCAAGGTCAGAAATACAACTCAACTTTTATGCTTCAGATCAGTTACATTGAGTTTCAGGAATTTATGTTTGTATTTCTTTTTTTAATATTTATTTATTATGTATACAATATTCTGTCTGTGTGTATGTCTGCAGGCCAGAAGAGGGCACCAAACCTTATTCCAGATGGTTGTGAGCCACCATGTGGTTGCCAGGAATTGAACTCAGGACCTTTGGAAGAGCAGGCAATGCTCTTAACCACTGAGCCATCTCTCCAGCCCCATGTTTGTATTTCTTATCCTTAGTTACTCATAGTTGCAAATGGATACTTAAATATATCTTATAGATATATAATTGAAATTCAAGAAAATGAACATAATTCATGTGACCAGTTCAGTAATTTTAACAAATTATGAATCCATGCAATTAACGTGTGCTGTTTCACTTTTCTGAAAGGTTCGATATTTGGGGCAAGAGAGGTGGTTCAGAGGTTAAGAGCACTGACTGCTCTCCTGGAGGACTCTGGTTCACTTCCCAGCTCCCACATGGCAGCTCACAACTGTCTGTAATTCCAGTTTGAGAATATCTGACACCTTCACATAGACATACATGCACGCAAAATACCTTGGACATAAAATATATAAAGAACTCATTTTTAAAATGCTTTTAAATGTTCTGTACTGTAATAAGTTACCCCTTGCCTGTTGTGTGACACTATTTCAAGGGATACATGAGAAAATGTCTACTCATTCCAGATTAGGGAACCAATGGCAGAGCAAAATCAGAATACTAACAAATCCAACTTGCTGAACCAATGAGTTTATTGGTGTTCCTTACAGGAGTAGGGGTGAGGAATTAATTACAGTAGCAGGAATGACTCATATACGGCTTCATCAGCAAAACCCATCCCAGCATGAGCGATTGATGAAAGCTGGGAATCTGGGGCTCACTGCACAATTCTTAGATTGACAGATTGGTGTCTCTTCCACGCAGCACATTTGGCCTGAGCCTCTTCCAATCAGCTCAGCTGGTCCTTGCTGGTTTCCTAGTCTAACTCTTTCTGCCGGGTTTGGGCCTATTCTAGGTGCTTCAGGTTGTCGGAGAATGTCTGTCCAGGATGCTCACTGCTTATAAGCATATGAGGAGGGAGGGAACCAGAAAACTAGGTTGATTTCAGGGATTTCTTGAAGCAACTGAGTTCTTAACTTCCTGAACTAAGAACTGAAGAAAAGTTCTTAACTTCTATGAAGCTCTTTAGAGAGTTTCCGTGCAGGATGGAGTATTTTTCCTCCTCTTAGAACAGATCTTGTGCCTGATGGAACTTCCCTCCAAAGAAGAACGCTTTTATAGAAGAGGAAGCTGCTAAACCCTACCTTACACTTCAGCCCTAAGCAATTACTGGATAGATAAGTTTTTCCTATTTTTAAAAATATGAAATAGGTTAGCCACTTTTTTATTGATTTTTATTGAGCTCTACATTGCAGGGAAGGGAGCAAAGAAAAATGTTAGCCACTTTAATGGAAAGTTTTTTTCCCTCACCATAAAGATTTGAGGTTTGTTCTTGCTGAGATTCTTTCCTGTGTGTATCTGTCCCCGGTTGTTGTTAAATAGTATTCTCTTGCATGAATATGTTGAAATTAACATGTTAATTTACCACTTTGGGAAGATTTGGATTGCTTGCAATTGAAGGCTAAGATAAATAAAGCTGCTATAAATGTCCATACATAAGTTTCTATGGATATATGCTTCCAACTGTGTTTTTGTCAATACTTAGAAATGGATTTTCTGTATTAAATAGAACATCTAATTTTAATTTTACGAAAATCATTTCCAGTGTTTTCTAAAGTGGTTCTACCATTTTGCATTTTTATCACTCATAAATGTGCTCATGTGCTGATTAGTACTTGGTATTGTCAGTATCTTTAATGTATCTAGTTCTATTGAATGTCTAAAGGGATGGCAATTTTACCTGCATTTTCCTTTATCATTTATAGCATTACAATATTCTTCACATTCATATCCTTTTACCTGATCACATATTGTTTACTGGGCAATTATGTTTTCTAAATGATGAGTCTGGACATGTACAGACACAGCAAGCATCACTGACAGTTTCTTTCCTTCTTTCTTCACTTGCCTTTTATGTTTTGTCCAAAACCCATACCACACAAATATAAATAAGCAGGTACAGCTACTGTTTTAGATTCTAACTCAGCAAACTCACAACCTCTACCAAGAAAATGTGGGCCATATCAAGGTTTCTGCCTTTCCTGACTGGAGCTGGCTCACCACATGCCCCAGGGATGGTTCAATAATGGCCCCCCACCTCTTCCTATGACCACAACAGGGAGATAAGCATCACTTCTCCCTCCTGGCTCCTGAAGATGAAATGGGAGGTAAAAACCTCTTCCTCAAGACTTTCACCCTGCAATATCATTCCAGAGCATTGTACAAAATCCAGGTGTCAGCTTCCATAGGTATTAGCAATACTAGGAAGGGCACTTCATTGTCTAATTACAGGTGTCTGTAGACAAGGCTATGAGCGACAGGCAGGAAGGCTGAGTTTGAACATTTGGCTAACCTGAGGCAAACAGCCAACTGATACCCCATTGGTGTGGCAGGTGCCAATGAGAAAACAGGAGCACAGAGGACTGCTGAGGAAATGAGGAGCCTTCATATTCAGTTGAATAAGAGAACTCCTCTATTTTAGCTCAGGGTGGCCTCAAAGCCATTATCCTGACTCGACATGTGTTTTCCCAGTATTTGTGTTAAGTAGCCTGCTTCCGTCAACTCCTATAGGAACTCGTTGATCACCGTAGTCACGATGAGTCTGGAGTAGAAACACAGCACCTCAAAATTGCTTGTTAAAAGAAATAACATCCATCTCACTGGGCAAGCAAGAGAGTAGCAAGTACATCAGAGCCGTTCATCTAGAAAACCCCTGTCTCTTTCTGCTGAGGAAAGCTGTCACAGAAAAGGGATTGGACCAAGAGGCCAGATCTATCCAAGGGTCTATTTTACCTGGGTTCTGATATGTAAATGATTTTTTTCCTGTTTTTTTTCCCGTTACCTAACATAAGGAAATAGCTCAAGAAAGCCTGAGACAGAAGAAATTGTTTCTCATTATTATAGTAAAAGAACCAAGCATACATTTTTATTCATTGCTTTAAAATTCATATTTCTAGTCATCTAGCACTAGTGCTCAAGGGAAAAGAAGTCTTCCCACCATGACACCAAAAAATGCTAAATAAAAAGATCAAAAGTAAAAGCATTCAACCACTAATAGGTTTAGCTGGTCCTAAAAATTCAATGCAAATAAATTGTCTCTTCTAATAAGCAGACATTTGATGCTGCCTTGATAAATAAGAGCATCCCCCAAATGATTCACTGAGCCCTTAAACCACCAGAACCTTGTGTGGTTATCCCAAATAACAGATTTCTCCATCAATACTCAACTACCTCCCCCCCAAAAAACAAGAACTCTAAATTTGTTGGGCGCTGGTGGTGCATGCCTTTAATCCCAGCACTCAGGAGGCAGAGACATCTCTGTGAGTTTGAGGCCAGTCCGGTCTACAAGAGCTAGTTTCAGGACAGGCTCCAAAACTAGAGAGAAACCCTGTTTCAAAAAAAAATCTAAATTCTACTCATTTGTCTTAATAGATAATTTCACACTAACTATCCTTAAAAGCACAAAGCCTCTGGAAGTCCCAATACAGAGAATTATGGTACAGAGTTCCACACATGGCCTCAGTCCTACCTCAGTAAGAACCACATAATACAATAGTATTTTCCCTTTTCTCTTGAACAAGAGAGACTTAATGAAGTTTTCTTTTCATATCTTCTTTAACAATAATAATAAAATTGGAAAATGTTTTTGAGGAGTTGTGTTATTATGGATTGAATCAGATTTTAATGTGTGGCTAAAGTTGTAAGAGGGAAATCAGAAATAATGATAATGTTTTAAGAAAACACAGCATAAAAAATATATATGCTGTTACTCAGGGGATAAAAACTATCAGTTTCCACAAATGTGCTCAAATCTAGTTGGTTGGATTTGCTTACTTTATATTTTTTATTATTGTTAATAACTTAGAATAAATTAAATTCCTTCTTAAACATTTCAAACAATAAGTAGCCTACAGAAATATAAAATATGCATAAAATTAAAAAATCTGGAAAGATTTTAAACAGAGCAAAGGTCAAGAAGAATAGAGCTATGTTAAACTCTTCTTCAGTAAAGACTTGAAACTCTATCTCTGGAATACTGAAGCTCACTGGTAGAGCAAGTGTCCAGTATACATGAAGACCTAAGCTCATTACCTAGTGCCGTAAATGTCTTGTGCAAGAAAATAAATTTAATCAAACCTTGAACCCCCCATGGCAACATTGCATCTTCTTATCAAAGCACTGTTCTTTCCATATGAATACTACTCATTGACCATTCTTATCACTGCACCTCAAGATACAGCTCCTCAAAATATTATTCTCTTGCTCAAGGTTTTCCTCAAAGCAACTTTAACATCTTTATTTCTCAAGCTATAGATCAGAGGGTTCAGCATTGGTACTACGATGGTATAGAACAAGGAAGACACTTTTCCTTGGTCAAGGGACAATATGGAAGGTGGCTGAAGGTACATGAAAGCCCCAGAACCAAAGAAAAGACAAACCACAATCATGTGGGAGCTGCAGGTGCTGAAGGCCTTGGACCTGCCCTCTGTGGAATGCATACGAAGAATGCTAGAGAGGATGAGGGCATAAGAAATGAAGATGGTGACAATGGGCACACCAATATCAAAGCTCACAAAAATAAAGACTACTAGCTCATTCACATAGGTGCTGGTGCAAGAGTGTTCCAGAAGGGGAAGGATGTCACACATGTAGTGGTTTACAAGATTGTCAGCACAGAAGGTCAGTCTTGCCATGGATATTGTGTGGGCCATGGCTCCAACAAAGCCCATTAAATATACACCAAGCAAAAGGAGTAAACATACCTTGGGAGACATGGTAACCATATACATCAGGGGATGACAGATGGCAACATAACGGTCATATGCCATGGCTGACAGAATGAAGGACTCAGAGATTACAAAGAAACAAAAGAAAAAAAGCTGGGTCATACACCCTGGGTGTGAGATAATGTTCTGATTTGAAATAAAACTCATCAACATTTTCGGGGAGATGGTGGATGAGTAACAGGAATCTATTAAGGAAAGATTGAAGAGAAAGAAGTACATGGGGGTGTGCAAGTGAGAATTCAGCCCAATTAGGGTGATCAAACCCAGGTTACCCAACACAGTGACCAAATAAAAACCTAGAAACAAAAAGAAAAGAGGCATGAGGAGTCCTGGCTGGTCTGTCAGGCCTGCAAGGATGAATTCTGTCACAGAGGAATTCTTGGCAGTCATTCTTCTCAGGAGCAAGACCTGCATGACAAAGAGGACCAGTGGAGAAAAAGGAACATCATCACCATCCTCACAAACCTAAGTACCCTTCAGGAAAATGGAATCCAAAGGAGAAGCGAACTCCAGTAGGAAGGTTTAAGCTATTTAAAGTGGGTAGTCGTGAACTACCAAGCGACTCCTGAGCACAGTAAAGAGCTCCACTTATGCTCCATATGAGGGCGAGCATTAGGGATATCTTTTAGACTCACAAGTCAGTCATTTACCATGTCCTCCATTCTCAAGCCTCTACACCAGTCATTGAAATCTGGACCTCTGCTCTGCAGTGAATCCAAACAGGCAGAAAACAACTTGGCCCTGGGTCAGCACAGTAACAAGGTGAAATACTGTTTTCCACAGTCTCTAACCCAACTGCACTTACATTTAGTAATAATGATCTAGGCTAACACACATTGAGGGGTACTGGGGAAGTCTCTAAGAATATGTAACACCATACAACAGTCTATACTCTACAGATGAGCCACAGAGTACTCAAAGCCACAAACCCTCCAGGCCATAGAAAGAAAGGGAGCTCTGGCAGTTTCATACAAGCTCATTCCTAACCTGTGTTTCACAGCTGGTCAAGATCACACAGGCATGGACTTCCTTTACTCACAGCAGGGATGGATGTTCTGCCTACTGTCTCTCCTCATGAAGTGTTCTGGGGGAGATAAAGACCTGATGAATAGAAGATAACACCTTAGACCTCTGGACCATCTTCCCAAGCCAAAGCTCAGAATCTTTGGTTTATCTTGTAATCCACTCTGTATTGAAAACCCTGACTTACAATTGTTTATCCAATAGCCTTCCAGCTTCCAAGAGGACAGCTCCTGCTCTGTGAATAACAGAGTAAGAGTGTCGTTCTGGTATGCAAATCTTGGAAGCCTGGTTATGAAGACAGAGGCTCCCCCAGGACCATTTCCTCAGAGTTCCACTCCCCGAGGAAGCAGAAATGTTTGTTTCTCCTGTAGAATTGCGTGATTGTTTTCTAGAAACAATTCTTTCTGACACTTCACAGTTATAATAATGGGGGAGGGAATGATCATGGGTCCTGAAACATATCCAAATCATCATGTCAGAAAATTGAAACTTACTATAAATACAATAAAGTAATAGAAACTGATCCAGGGTCCAAAAGTAAAAATATATTCAGTAAACGCAGAGCAGTACAGCCTGGAATTAGAGGTAAGGACTTGAAAATAACCACTCAAATTACATTCTTAGTTTACATAAAAGGGAAAAAAGCTAACAAATAGTACATTCTAACAGAGTATAAGAGGAAACAAAATACCAATAAAAATTTCAAAATTGAAACTTTTTTATAGGAAGATGGGAATTGAGTGAATTTACTTAATATCATACTATGGTAAACTATTGTGAAATTAAGGACAGAATTAATAGAAATCAGCTATACTAAACTCTATCATTCACAATAGTCACACATACACACACACACACACAGGAATAAACCTAGGACATCTACTGAAACAAGTCTGAGCCAACGACCTCTGTCTGAACAGGCCTGAGGCAGCAAACTCCACAGGAACAGGTAAAAGTGAGTGACAGCTGAGGGAATATGCTGGAGCCAGAGTCCCAACCTTGAGTCTGGAATCTGCAAGTGAATAGGCCAGAGACAGAGACCTCTGTGGACCTGGCCCAAGACAGGGACCTCTGACAGAGCAGGCCCAAGGCAGCAACCTCAGCACAAACAGTCCTAAGCAATCAATTTCCATGGTAGCAGGCTTGAATGACCCCCCTGTATTACAGAGCCACATTGACCAATACACTCATGTCAGTAGTGCAATGTAAGGGTTTTGATCAGGGTTGCTTTATCTGCCAATTAAAAATTAAGGGACAGGAAATCCCTAGTGCAACAGATAGCACAGGAGAAAACTTGAACTTCCATGACAGAATCTTCAAGAAAGGTGTGTATTGAGGTGAGGAAATATACACACAGCAGGCTCACTGAAGCAGACAAGTCACTCAGGAAGCCAGAGGTCTAGAGTTCTCGAAGTCTTTGAAGAATTTTCTTCCCCTAATTTGGGTTTGGTTGGTTTGAAAAAAGTTAGGATGGTTGCTTGGCTAGGAACTGTTGTGCAGTATGCCCTGCTCTGTCCTGAACTCATTGAGCCAGTCCATCAGCAGGCAGCCTATTGTTGGAAGATAAAAGTACAAGGCATTTGAGTTTTTGCTGTTGTTTTGTTTTGTTTTTTAATTTCTTTTTTATTGAAAATAGATTCTTTTCACATATAATATATCCTGATTGTAATTTCCTCTCCCTCCAATCCTTCCACTTCCTTCTCACCCTCTTGCCCTCCAGATCCACTTCCTTTCTGTATCTCATTAGAAAAGAACAGGCTTCTAAGAGAGAACACCCAAAGATTATTAAAAAAAAATGTAAAAGGATTAAGAAAAAACTTTCATATTAAAGTTGAACACAGCAACCCAACTGGAGAAAAAGAGTACCAAGAGCAGGGAAACAGTCAGAAACCTACTTGTTATCAAAATCAGGATGCCCATAAAAATGCTAAGTTAATAGCTATGATATATACCCAGAGGATCTGGTGTAGCCCAAACCCATGTAGGCTATGTGCTTTGTGGCTTCAGACTGTGAGCTCACATGAGCCTTAATTAATTGATTCAGAGGGTCATATTCTCTTAGTGTCTTCCATCCCCTCTGACTCTTACACTGTTTCTGCCTTCTCTTCCACAGAATTCCCTGAGGTCTGAGGAGAGGGATTTGATGGTGACATCCAATTTAGACTTTCTATCTGCAGAATGTCTAGCTGTGGATCTCTGCATCCATTTCCATATACTGCTGGAGGAAGTCTCTCTGTCTCTCTCTCTGATGATCTCTGATGATGATGACATAAGGTCCTGACCTATAAGTTATAAAAGAATCGCATTAGGAATCATTTTCTTGTTTTGGTTTGGTTTGGTTTCAGTTGGGTTGGGTTTTTTGACCAGTCTTGTATGGTTTTATGCTAGGGCTTTGGGCTATCTAGTCTCTTGTTCGTGATTACCCAAGAAGTGGTAGGTATGGGTTCCTTCTCATGTAGTAGGCTGCTGTAGGAGCCCGCTTATTCATTTCCCAGGAGCCCAGACTCCCAAAATAATCACACAGAAACTGTATTAATTAAATCACTGCTTGACTCAATAGCTCTAGCTTCTTATTGGTTAACTCGTACATCTTAATTTAACCCATTTCTATTAATCTGTGTATCGCCACACGGCTGTGGCTTACCATGTAAAGTTCAATCCAGCGTCTGTCTCTGGTGGGGCTACATGGCTTCTCACTGACTCTACCTTCTTTCTCCCAGCATTCAGTATAGTTTTTCCCACCTAGTTCTACTCTGCCCTACCAACAGGCCAAGGCAGTTTCTTTATTCCTTAACTAATAAAAGCCACACATATACAGAAGGACCTCTCATACCATTTCCTCTTTTCTGTTTTAATAAAAAGGAAGGTTATAACTTTAACACAGTAAAATTAAATATAACAAAACATATCAAGCAAAATTTGCAGTTACAATATTTGTATCTACTTTATCTCTTATCATAACTAAGGAAAACTATAAATATAACTATAAATTCTTCAACTCTATCAAAGATTCCAGAATTATATAATATTACCTAAGTAAACAGGAAGTACATTGTAAGCTACAACCAGAACTCTAGAATTGACAGAGAAATCTTGCTGCCTGGACAGTCACCCAAAGTCCTTCTGAACTACTGGGGCATCCATCTTCAGCATGCTGGCCCATACTATCTGAGAAACTTTTCCATGAAGCAGGAAATTTTAAAGAATGCAGTTTGTCAGTCACTTTCTTCTGTGTCCTGGAGAATGTCTGGCAGACTCTTTCATGAAACAGGAACCCCAAAGGATGGTCTCATCTTCTTTAGGCAACTTCAGCAATCATTTTTCTGTGAGTCCTGCATGTCCAGCTCATACAGCACAACATCAAGAAGTCCAGGCAAGAGCAGTTTCTTGCCCAAATTGCTAGTAAACTACATAAGGAATCTTTTCGATGCCCATCTTCCTTTTGAAGTAATTGGTGCTTCCAGGAACAGATGTGTCTCATTGCTATGAAAAGTCCTAAGTTCTTAAAACATTTTAAATACCATATTCTGAACGTCTCTGAAAGATTTGAAAAGTACCTACCTAACTGAAATAGATCTGTATATGTCTAGAAAATCTAACTAACATGACTACAAGCTTGACTATTATAGATGATTATCTATTAACCTATATTTCTTAATTATACATTTTTAATGAGCTGGACAAACTCAATACCTTATTAAAAATACAATATATATATATATATATATATATATATATATATATAAATTGAACTTAAATTTGTGTCAATAAACCAAGATCCATACCAATGCAAATCTCTATAGCACATCCCCCATTAAATGTAAAGAAACATTTACAAACAATATAGGACCTCCCACACCAGTAGACCTTAAGCCAAATCAGACACTTGCTGGAAACTGTCACAAATTTTTTGCCACCATTACTCTAGCAAGTTTTGCATACAGTATACATTGTAGGTCAAAGGTTTTGTGTCTGGGTTTGTATCTACATTCTGCTACTCCTAAGAGTGCTTTCCTGCACCAAAGAGACTAGACCATGGAGAAGTTGAGCTGGTGCCTACATGTTTAACAAGCTGTGAATGTTCTTGGAAGTAGTTGGGCCCCACTGTCATTTTGTATAGTCATTTTGACTTTACATCAGCCTGAGTTGTTTAGGGATTTCCATGGGATTCGGCTTGCCAACAATTCAATTGAATGCAACCCAGACCCCTCCTTGGAAGCCTTGCCTAGTTCCAAGAAATGGTCAGTTGAGACTCTGTATCCCCAATACTAGGAGTCCTCATTAGGATCACCTTCATAGATTCCAGGAAGCTTCCACTGCACTAGGTTTCTATACTATCTCCCAAATGCCCATATCCATCCATCCTTTTTTTTTCCAGC